GTCCGCGCAACACATTCTGTTCCGTTCCTCTTGCCTTGGCATCAGGCCAGCGAAGCTATCCGCTCTTTTTTCCGCTAAGTGGGACCACGCGGCGGCGCGGCACTCTGCTCGCCTGGCGCTCTCTCGAGCGAGATAGTGTAAACTCGAACATTCCAGCTTTTCACGCATGTCAAGTGACTGCCCTCACCCCCCCCCCCCTAGACTGCCTACACTCCCCCTGGCTCACGGATTTCCCGAAGTACGCAAAGATGCCAGGCGAGCAGACTGCCGCGCCGCCGCGTGCCCCCCCCCCCCTAAACTAAGTTAGCACTTTTTTTCATTTTTGAACGTCTGATTTCTTGAGACCCCGGTAATTGCAGGTCGCATCAATACCGGAAGTAGTAAGTTGGTCTGATCCGGAAGTTGTGCCCGGCCTGCACCGGATGGTGGCTAATTTGTGCGCTGTGCGCCTGCTCCATGCCAGTGGGATCGACCCTATATACTTGCCTTCCTCCATACGCTCAAATTCAAATTTCGCGCGTCATCCGAAACACTTGCCGCGTCGCGACGCCGCACAAGTTTCGCAGCGCAGGCTCCCGACGACACAAGCCGGATTTAACAGTCCGGTGAGTGACCGCTACCGTAATCCACGTTGGCGCTGGAGCGCGCAGCTACACTACTGATGTGCGCGCCAGCCAGTCACGTGTTACGGTTGCGGTCACTCACCGGGCTTTGTAATCCCACTAATCTCGACGACCGGACCGACGATTCTGTTGACCGCTCGCTCCGGAGATGTTAGGCGCTGGTGGGCCCCCCCCTTAACCACTTTTAAGTTTTTTTGGGGGGGGGGGGCACGCGGCGGCGCGGCAGTCTGCTCACCTGGGCTCTCTCGAGCGAGACAGTGTAAACTCGAACATTCCAGCTTTTCACGCATGTCAAGTGACTGCCCCCACCCCCCACCCCCCTAGACTGCCTACACTCCCCCTGGCCCACGGATTTTCCGAACATGCCAGGCGAGCAGACTGCCGCGCCGCCGCGTGCCCCCCCCAACTAAGTTAGCAAAGGCGCTTTTGTTGTTGTTTATTTTCCATGATTTTCATAAATACTGTAGAGGTAGGGGATAGCGCAACCACCTGATGCTATGTTCGGGATCAAATCCTAGGTAGAGTATCCTAAAGTCCACAGATAGCGTGGCACGAAGGTAAGTCTGCTTGAGTGCAATATTTTTTGTTGTAATGTTTGGTTTCAAGAATCAAAAACTTAGAAACCCATTGTTGAGCAACAAAGAAAAGCGAGGCCGTATGTAGAAGCCATTCTTCCTTCGTAGAATGAAATAAGATAGAAAATCTAGCGATATTCGGTAAATTGAGTATATCCTAAAATCTCGTAAGTGGATAACAACTACTTTCATCATCGCTCCTAACTGGATGGACGAAATTAGCGCTGCAAGGCCACACATTCGAATGTGGTGCGGAGATGTTGTATTTTTCAATTCTGGGTTTATAAAGACGATTCATCATTTAAGATGGCAGTCCGTAAACAGAGATGATGTTATTTCGTGTGAAAACAAAAGCTTGGTGCGAAGAGGATCACTGTTGAAAAAGAACGAAACCGGGCAGTATTAAAATTGGCCCTCATTTTTGAGTGATAATGCTAGGAGAGGAGACAGTGGTTGCTATGGAGAGAGAACAGGCGACAGACACATCACGCTTCGCTGACCGTTGCGTTGTGAATAACAGCAGTAACTGCACCCAGCTAACTGACAACACCCTACATATTGCTTGAAAAGAGGTCATTTGAAGATGCGGAACAGAGTCAAAATGCTATTTGAGGTGAAAGTTTAGAGAAGGAAAGGTGAGCTTTTACAACGCTTCCATACTCATTAGCTGATATTTAGATTGTATTCATGAAGCCAATGTCCTGTAATGAACAGCACTAATATTTTCTGAGTGGAATGCTTTCCTTCACTGGCTCTGGCTTAGATTATTTGTATGCATGTTTAGTGCGCTATATCCTATACAGTGATCTGGGAGAGTAGGCTAGTGCCAAAAATTCAGTGTTGTTATCCTGTCAGACAGCTCTGGTACCACTAGACCAATCTCGAAGGAATGTAAGGCCTGGTTGGCCTAGGCGAGATCCGATGCGAGTGTTGACCCCGGACCGTACCCATGTGAAGCCACTTGCCACTACATACCAATGCCCATATTTAGTACGATGCGGAAATCAAATACGTGTTTTTAATTGAAAAATGTTCAGAGACAGAGAGTAATGTCATCTCTACGCAGACGACCACTGTATTTCTGTTAATCATCGCCACTAGCGTAGGGTTACATGGACCTCTCATCCTTAGGAAATCAGCTCTGTTACATTCCTTTTTCGGTTTAAAAGAAACAAGTTCGCGATTTGGAACATTTCGGTTATTATGATTATTTGTTATTTCCTCCGCATTTCATTTCATTTTTTTCTTATTTCTGAACCGTTTTATAACCCTCCGAGAAAATTTTTTCGGGAAAAAGGTCATCAACTGAAAATGATGACAAATATAGCCATTCTATTTTTCCTGATGGCAATTTTAGGCTACTGAGTGATGTGTGGTATTCTACATGAACTATATTTACTGGATGGAACGTCATGTATCAATTGGTTCGATTTTCCATCCGCCGCATTATTAGCTATGGTCTTGGATCGTAGTGAAAATAAGTGGCTATAGTCGAACATTTGTTGTTGAGATGCACTCATTTGAAATAGCACCCAGACATCCTCACAGATCTACCATAATATTTTAATAGAATTTTTGCATTCTACTGGACTATTTTTTTGACCGTACTCGTCTTACCTCATTGGGAACCACCCTCATGATTGACCTCTGTAGCGTTGTCGCCTGTTTTATCAGCAACCAACAATCTAGCAGTAATTCTATAAGTGTTCAAGTACACAATGATTTCTGTGCCCAGAAAAGCTCACTGATGAATTTGTTCCGCAAGAGCTTTTTTGCCACTGGGGCGTTGCTCAGCACCTCCACATCCACCATGAACCTAGTCCAATCTTATCGTAACCCCTCGCTTTAATTGGCATGCTTCCTAACTGTCACTATTCGACTTCATGGCTTCTTTTCTGATGCCAAATAGCATGCCTCACATTTCTGCAGTACACATTCAAATTTTTTGCCTCTAAACTTTTAGTCTTCTCGATCGAACTATAAATAGTTTTCTGGGTGCTGTTCATCTCATACCATATAACGTTTTCTTGAAAAATATTTATTTTCAATCCTAGAACATGAAGTGGGATGTCATCATCGTCGTCAAATGTCAGTGTTACGCAGTGTTCCTTGTCAACCAAGAAAGACAACAGAACAGAAATTCAGCTACGGGTAAATCATCAAGGCATTGATAGCTGGACAAGTGCTCAGAAACAGTAAGACTAATGCAATGCCTTGACCACGATTTTTCAAATTTGCACGTAAAATTTCAGTCATGCATATGTTACAGGTTACTCATGTATCAACTAGAAAACGCGAATAAAGCAAACAGATGACACTGACTAAGTGTGGCCAAGTCTCGCAAAATCTTGCGTTGTCGTCGCTGAAATCAGAAACATGCGACATTGAGCAGGTTTCTATGAAGGAGGAATTCCTCCAGTTGTTTGGAATCAAGCAAGAAAAGACTTCGACAGAGATCGACTTTGTTGCAGGCCCTCTACGCTACTGGAATGTTTTCCATCGAAAGCCTGATATTCATAACATTTTGAGGACGATCTCTGAGCTAGCTGCTTGGTTCGTTGAAAGTGGCGCCGCTATAGCAATCATAAAGACAATTGTATTAATGTCAGACAATGTTGTATCTCATTAGATGAGCATGTTTTCAAATCAGCGACATTTTCGAAGCGTTCTCGATTCGCGTTATCACCTTTGACGATGATGCCTTTGCGCTTCCTCGTTGCTTACCTATCCTTCTAAAACAGGTTCTTTCTGTTATAGCGTTTCATCGCAACAAAGTGATTGTCCCCACGGAACGACAAAAAAGGCTGAAATCTGGGTTCGACACTGGATTGGAGGATATCATCGAATACGATGTGTACTCGCCATTGCTATCTTCAAGTGTCTGTCACGTGAAAATCTGCATCTCAATTTGAAAGCCGGAACAATCAAGGATGTTGATATACTTGTAAAACAGTTTTTACATGCGATATTGATGGCTTATTTTTTCACAAAATGGTCTTCAATGAACGTTATGGAAAAGGTTCGGCTGAAGTTGAGGTTGGCAAAAGTACAAAGCAGCTTACAATCCTGCCCGAAAAAATGTGGATGCTCACTTCCAAGTTACAACCATTTAAACCGTGGTCGAATCGCAAGCTGCAAGTACGCTCATCCATGATTACAATGGTGCATGCTCAAAAAGCAACCGAGCCGATCTGCAAATTCCACAAAATAACCATGTTCAGCCGTGGCCTGGGCTGTCATAAAGGAACTAGTGAGCTTTTTTCTTTTCATTTCCTGTTTACAGTTATGCGTACACACTCAGCTGCAGACCTATTATTCTGCCTGTGGACAGCCGAAGCAAAGATGAAAAACTTGCCGATATATTTTCTGTGAGAAAATCTTGGAAGCTGTTTGAGAAGTACTTTAAACCAAAGGAATGCAATGGCTTCATCGTTGGGAGACGGCATTTCAGTACTCAGTCACTACTCGAACAGTCAAAACGTTCCAGCGCGGAAGCGATGCGAAACAAGTTCGTGTGTTTCCAAAAAAACTTGCTGTTCATCAGGAATCAAACGAAAAGGCATGCTTAGTCGATCCAAAAGTAGCAGGGCCAGATGCCGCCAACCAGCTGAGGTACTTCAAACAATGGAATATCGAAGCCCAATGCGATGCAGCATTTCCCTTCTTTCCTTTCTCATCAGTGCCATTTCTCATTCGTCGAAGTGGACATAAATACCGGGCCTATTGTGATCAATTGCGAGAGGATTCTCAAGGAAATAAGAGCGAAAGGCTACAGTAGAAATGGGTGAAGTATCAATAGGGGATGACGGCAGCCTCTTGCCGTTTGCCTGGTGGAGTAAGCGACTGCTCCGAATTGTGGGATTTATTGAAAAGTGGAAGAAATACAGCATCCAGAATTCCAGCTAACCGAATCGCAAGCAGAGATACTCTCATCGAAGGGAAAGTGTACGGTGTTGCTGTAGAAGGCGGTAATTTCATTACTCAAGATGTGTCAGGATTCGATCCTTCTTTTTTCAATATTTCTATTAGTGAAGCAGAGAACATGGATCCTCAGCATCGACTCCTGCTTGAGTGTGTTCAAGAATGTATCGAAAACGCTGGTCTGACGGACACGAGTAATGTAGGTGTGTTTGTAGGCTTGATGGGAACAGAATATCCAGAAATGATGAAAACCAAAGGGTCCATTTCTTCTATGCTCGGTTCCATGTACGCTTTTGTCTCCGGGAGGATCAGCTACATATTAGGTAGTCACGGACCCTCTATGACAGTAGACACCGCTTGCAGTTCCTCTCTGGTTGCCGCAGATCTCGCCATCAGTGCTCTTAAGAATGGAAGATGTACGACTGCAATAGTAGCCGGAGTGAATCTAATCCTAAGCGAAAAAGGTCAGGGTGTTCGAGCAAATGGGAACATGCTGTCACGTCATGGGAATTCACTGAGTTTCGACGCGAGCGCCTCTGGATACGGACGCTCAGATGGCTGCGTCGTGCTGATGCTCGAGCAGATGAAACCTGGCAAGATTTACATGTCTGAAGTTGTTGGCATGAATGTCAACCATGGGGGAAGAAGTGTTTCGCTTACGACTCCAAATCCTCATTCTCATCGAATGTTGATCAACAGTTTGCTCCGAGATTGCAAATGCGACGATGTTCAGTACTGGGAAGCACACGGCACTGGTACCCCAGTAGGAGATCTGCTTGAAATCAAAGCGCTCTCATCTACATTCCAGAACATAACTGTTGGATCTGTAAAGGCTTCCATTGGTCACGGTGAGGCTGCAGCAGGAGCAACAGCACTGCTCAAATTAGCACTTATGTTCAAAAACAACTACGTACCTCCTTTAGTCAACTTCCATGTCACCAATAGCAAAATGGAAACGGGCTCCTTAGTATTGCCAGTCGTGGGCGAGGAACGAATTTTGGGGGATTGTGGCATGAGTTCATTTGGTGTGAGCGGTACAAATGCGGCGGCCATTGTGAGAAGAACTGTAGGGATATCACCGAATTTGAAGGCATTGAGAAAGCATTATTTTGTACCGATCAGCGCCAAGAATATGGAATCCTTGAACATGATGCTCAAAGAAGTGAAGAATTTCTTGCCCAATTCTAACGAAAACATGGAGGACATTGCTGCAGCCTTTGCCTTCCATAAAAATCATTATAGCCATCGTTGTGCTCTCATTATAGACAGGCGTGGTCGAGAAAGCGAAAAGTTATTCGGAACTTACTATAAAGATATGAAAACCGTAGCTCTTATATTATCCGATGCAATTGTTTCGTATGATATGCTCCATATCCCCGGCTTTGCGAAGCATTTTGATTCACTCCATCGGGAAAGAATTCTATCCGATAAGGACGAGCTTACAATATGCTTTATCCGCCTCGCTGCAGATGTTTTCGGGTCAGCAGAGATTCTTTCCTCGAACAACTAGGGAGCTTATACTTGCTCTTATGGCTTATTCGTTTTTG